ATGGGGGTGGCCAAGCCAAATCTGGGTAGTATTGTGACATGGGGAATGGGCTCCTTCTCCCAATCCCAGGTTCCAACTGACATGGCAGATCCTACGTCCATGAGGGAGCAGCAGCACCCCATGCACCACATCTCATTGCCATTTAAATTTGGCCCATCTGCCTGGAAGGGGCTCCACCAGTACACCACCCAGCTCTAGTTACTGCCTCCTGATTGGAAGTGATACATCCCAGCCTGCCCATGAACAGGGTGTGTGTTGGGGGGGAGGGGGAAGGGTGATTGGCTATAATCAAATTGGCTGTGTGAGCCAATGGGAAGTCAGTAACCAGAGCCAGGGGGCATACAGTGGAGCCCCACCCCGTGTGAGTGATGGAGAGGTGGTTGGGCCAATGAGCAGCGTTGTGACCCAGTGCATGCTCCCAGACCCCAGCTCCACTCCGTTCTCCATTGACAAAGGCGCCAACTCCATCCCATGCCACACAGTTGCTTCCTCCCCATAGTGAGAGGTGTGCCCCGCTCCTGCCCACTGCTGGGGGAGGGGTTGGCCAAAACCTGGTTGTTTGGGAACTAAGAAACAATCAGCCAACAGGGAGGCAGTAACTGGAGCAGGGGTGGAGGGGTGCAGAGTCGGAGCCTATGTTGATGGGGAAGTGGAGCTAAGTGGAGCAGTTTGAGGCAGCTGCATTAAAAGACTGCTCAGTGGCCTGGCTCAACTTTGACATTTTTTTTCAGATTTGTGTGGGCTGCTTGGGTGCTAATTGGGTGGGCCAGGGCCCACCGGTGGCTCTGTCCTTGGTTCACAGAAGCCAGCATGTTGAACAAAGATCCGCCTAAACTAGCCAAGAGGAAATGCCAAGGAAAGAGGTATAGTCTAAGCCCCACCCCCTCAAAGGCCATAAGGAGGTACCTCCCTCTGCTCTCCTGGAGTTAGACAGCCAAGCCAGGTCAGCCCTTTCTTGTTTAAAAAGAAAAGAAAAGAAAAGAAAAGAAAAGAAAAGAAAGAGCTGCTTTCCTTCCCGCCCCATACCCCAAAGCTCAGTAGTTAAAGGACTCACCCAGGAAGTGAGAGATCCAGGTTCAATTCCCCCCCTCTGCATGATGCAAAGCAGAGACTTGAACCAAAGTCTTCTCCCTTCCAGATGAATCCCCTAACCAGTGACTTCTGTGGTGGGTCACTCTGAAGCTGTTACATTTTGTATAAAATATGTAAATATTCAGGGACTTGAATACAACTCTCCCATCTCTCAGGGGAGTGCCTTTACCACTCAGCTATAGAGTCATTTTCACTGTCTCTCTGGCCCAATAAATTATTTACTTTAAATAAAAGTTAAAGTGTGTGTGTGTATAGATAGATATACACACAAACCCAGCATAAACGTATTGCATAATCATACATTTACATCATGTAAATATGAATAATATATAATAAATGAAACTATATCTATATTTTAAATGTTAAATATTTCATTTCAAGCAACTAAAATAACTTTAAGACCTTGTGAGAATGGAATAAATAAACTAAGTAATACTCTGAAGTAACTTATTTTGCATTAAATATAAAAATATTTTTGAGCTCATTTCCCATTTTCATAGAATCATAGAATATCAAGGTTGGAAGGGACCTCAGGAGGTCATCTAGTCTAAAGCAAAGTCCAGCTCAAAGCAGGACCAATCCCCAACTATGATTCACAATGGGTTATTTTAGATCTGCCCACTAACAAAGTTTCCCTGGAGAAAATTAATTCCCCCCAAACTGCCTAAAACTGTAAAATGTTTGTGTTTTGACAATCAAATATTTTAACAAAAAACATGCAAACACGCATCTTTGTAATCCAGTCAGAACCAGTCCAAAGCAGAATTACAGCAGGCATTGCCTTTTTTCTAGTGACTGGTATTTTTGTGACTGAACATGGGAGGCAGAAGAACAATAATGTCTGAGCGTGGAGGTAGGTCAGAGACTAGGAACATATTGGTCCCTTGTTGCCTTAAAATCTGTGAATGAATCATGTTCCCTAAATACAGTATAAATCACACTGAATGGATTTTCAGTGAAGACACTGGAATGCAAAATTAAAAAGGAAAATAAATATCAATTAACATCAATGGCTCTATGGGCATAATTATGCACTCCGCACTAATCCAAGGTCACTGGGAGCCTCTCTCTTGCTGTCAAAGGATCAGACGCTCACTGTGTTGGAACCTACTGACTTTCCCTTTTAATGCCAGCCAAATGCCAGATTATTTACAGGAGCTAAAACAGATGTTGAACAGAATAGGAAACAAGCCCTCAGAAGCGGAAAGCCTGGTGATTCACCATGTGATTGTCAGAGGCTAACCTAATTATTAGAAGGGAGCCTTTACAGGGGCTCTGGAGATAATTATTCCTGTGATTCTGTTATGGCCTTAGTAAAAGGCAAAGTTAAGCCATTCATTTCATTACAGCTTCTGAAAGGATTTTCTTAAAGAGCTAATTTATCTGGGCAACAGTAACTGAGCATGAATTAAATAAAATGCCTTTCTTGGGGGTCATGAAAATGTAAACTAGTTCAGGGCACTGTACGTCAAGCCTCTTTAAAATTTATATTTTGGACTTAGAGGCTTTGGTGTCATATCCCGTTTTTTATTAAGTCCATCAAAAAATAACATTTTTAAGATGATGAATTTTGCTGTAATAGTCAGGCTCCTTGTTTCCCGTGTAGTGATACAGCAAAAAACCCCTTTTGGGGTTCAAAAGGGAGCTAGATAGATTCGCAGAAGATAGGTCCATCAGTGGCTATTAGCCAGGATGGGCAGGAATGGTGTCCCTAGCCTCTGTTTGCCAGAAGTTGGATTGGGTGATAGGGCATGGATCACTTGATGATAACCTGTCTATTCATTCCCTTTGGGGCACCTGCCATTGACCGCTGTCAGAGGACAGGATACTGGGCTTGATGGACCTTTGGTCTGACCCAGTATGGCCGTTCTTATGTTCTTAAAAATGTAACATGAAAAACAGCAAAAATGTAGCATTGAAAATCAGATGCTTGCTATCATCTTCCCAAAGCCACTCTTTTAGGGTCTGATCCTTCAAACACAATTATATTACCAAGTGTAGTGTTTAGTACTTCGGTTGACCCATAACTCAATGGGACAAATCAAGGCATTAATGGAACTACATAAAGTTATGAGCAATATGCTCAGTAGTATTTGCAAGATCAAGCACTTATTTCTTACTTCTCTCCCTACCATCATTGTTCCTTTGTCAACCTTGTCTCAGATATCAATGTGGCCTAGTGGTTGTGCTTTGGACTATGACTGTGGCAATCTGGGTTCTAGTCCCAGCGTCACTGCTGTTATTTGGGTAACATGGGGCAAGTCACTTCTCTTCCTTGTGACCCAGTTTCCCCACCTACAAAAAGGAGATAATAATCCTGACCTCCTTGGTAAAGAGCTTTGAAATCTACCGATGAAAAACACTATTGAAGAGCTAGATATTAATATGCCACAGATCAGTTGAATAATTACATAGTTTATGGCCCAAATGTTCAAATTTAGGTGTATTATTTAAGCATCTGAGTAAAAGTGGCATGATATTCAGAATTTCTGAGCATCCACAAATCCCACTGAAGTCAAGGGGAGCTGGACACCCTGAAAAGCACGCCATTTTTATTCTGATGCCTAAATAATTACTTAGATGCTTAACTTTAGGTATCTACATTTGAAAAATTGGGCCTATAATGCTTTTTATCTGCTCGTATGAGCAAGAATGTACAGTTACAGTATGGGTGTTCATTTTTACTGCACAGGCTGCAGCTGCGGTGGAAGCTAGCCTTTTAGTCAAGAGGTCTGAATAGATGATCTAATGGCCCCTTCTGGCCTACAACTCTATGAATCTATGAAATCCAGAAGTTTTTTTTTTCTCTTAAAAGGACACCAAGATCCATTCCATCTTAAGAATCCCATCCATTGCAGTCAAAATTTTGTTTGTGTAGATGCCCAGCAGGGGGAGAGGGTTGTCTCTATAGACACTTGCAGAAAAGAGGAGTTAAGATTTGGCAGACGTTTCCATTAACTCCATAGAATAAAACTCTATATTTTCATTTAATAGTGCATGAGCTACAGTTTGAGCTACTATCAAGAGCTCCTATAGTACATAAGTGCATGTAGCAAATCATCTAATGTAATGCAAGTGAAATTATTAGTTTGTTTTGCCCTCAGCAGGGCAGGACAGTTACATGAGTGGAGAAAATAGTATCAGTCCTTTTGGATTTCTCCCTTGTGTCTTCATTGAGAGACGGTTCATGCACAGAATTGGAGGGAAAGAAAAAAACAGCGTGTGAGCGCTGAAGGGCTTAGACAACAGCCCCAAATGAGTGGGGTGAGGCATGGGTTTGTTGATGATTTGCTTCCTGTTAAATGAATATACGAAAAGTTTCCCTCATAGTAGAGTGTTTAGTACAGAGGAGGCTTTTAAAACAAAAATGCCAGGAGAAAAAAATATCTCTCTGGGCTGGATCCTGAAGATACCATGGTTATAAAAAAAAAATTAGATAGCTAGAATTGCCAATCCTAATGTTCAAAAACATCAAGAGTCAGTACCCCAAAATCTTGAGATTTAAAAAAGATAAAAGGTAAAAAAAAAGTTGGGTTTTTTATCTGCCTTTGGATTTTTGAAACTTTAGGGTCACATTTTCCAGTTTTTCCATAACAACCATGAGGGCTAGAAACTTTTAAAAAATGAATGCTGGAATTCTCTTGTAATTCCGTGACTCCAGGAGCTGGGGCTTTAATTAAAAAAAACCCACGAGTATCATGACACTTGCAATACAATCAAAGAGGCTGGCAAACTGAGGATGCCTCTTAAAATGTACTGAAGTGCTGACAAGGCCGTAAGCAGTAATTCAGTCATATTGCTATCTTGTTGTTTGGTTCAAATAAAGTATCTGAAACGTGAAGCATTGTAAAGAACCCAATGTGTCCAAATCTTACAGTAAGCATGTGAGAAGGTGAAAGAAAACTCACCATTATTCACCAGGACGTGGAGTGGACAATTCTTTGCTCTAAACTGTTGCACAAATTGCCGTATGGACTTCATTGAAGCCAAATCACAGTGTAAAAACTCCACTGGAAAGAAACAGAGAAAAAAACACCCCGTGAAGTCAGTTTACAGTGAAATAAAACAAAATACAAATTTATACATCACAATCCCACCCATTATGCTTGAGTGTGACCTACAAAGAAAGGGATATTTTGTTAAAAAATTGGCCTGGGCCCTTTTAAAAATTCTTTATAAGGAGGGCCAAAAACGTTCTCTTTTAGTCAGATTCAGAGACTTTAAGGTCAGAAGGGACCATCGTGATCGGGATTGTCCCGAGCTATTCTGGGGCCCTACGCAGCCCCACCATAGGGGGTGAGGGGGGCAGGCCTCGGGGGGGGGCTGGCTTGGGGGACAGGGGGAACCACTCCCCAGCACTCACTGGCAGCATGGCTGGGGCAGGGCTGCTGCACTTTCTGCCATCCATGAGTGCAGGCCCAGCCCTCCTGCACTCCTCAGGGACGGGAAGGGGCAAAGTAGGGGTGGGGAGAGGCAGGGGCTGAAGCAGCACGCAGCTGCACAGAGGACCAGGAAATTTGGTACCCCAAACTTCCTGGTGCCCTATGCAGCTGCGTACTTTGCGTATGGGTAAGGACGGCCCTGATCATGATCATCTAGTCTGACTTCCTGCACATTGCAGCACACAGAACCTCACCCACCCACTCCTATAATAGACTCGTGACCTTTGGCTGAGTTACTGAAGTCCCCAAATCATGGTTTAAAGACTTCAAGTTACAGAGAATCCATCATTTACCCTAGTTTAAACCTGCAAGTGACCCGTGCCAGAGGCTGCAGAGGAAGGCAAAAAAACCCAAAATCCCAGGATCTCTGCCAATCTGAGCTGGGGGGAAATTCCTTCCCAACCCCAAATATGGCAATCAGTTAGGCCCTGAGCATGTGGGCAAGACCCACCAGGCAGATACCTGGAAACGAATTCTCTGTAGTAACTCAGAGCCCTCCCCATCTCGTGTCCCGTCACCCATCATTGGTGATTTTTGCTACTGGCAGTCACCGATGGGCCACATGCCATTGTAGGAAGTCCCCTCATACCATCCCCTCCATAAACTTATCAAGCTTAGTCTTGAAGCCAGTTAGGTTTTTTGCCCCCCCCTGCTCCCCTTGGAAGGCTGTTCCAGAACTTCACTCCTCTGATAGTGAGAAACCTTCACCTAATTTCAAACCTAAACTTGTTGATGGCCAGTTTATATCCATTTGTTTTTGTGTTAACATACGCACTTAACTTAAATAACTCCTCTCCCTCCCTGATATTTATCCCTCTGATGTATTTATAGAGAGCAATCATATCTCCCCTCAGCCTTTATTGGTTAGGCTAAACAAGCCAAGCTCTTTGAGTCTCCTCTCATAAGGTAGGTTTTCCATTCCTCAGTCATCCTAGTAGCCCTTCTCTGCACCTGTTCCAGTTTGAATTCCTCTCTCTTACACATGGGAGACCAGCAATGCACACACTATTCCAGATGAGGTCTCACCAGTGCCTTGTATAATACTTCCCTGTCTTTAGTGGAAATACCTCACCTGATGCATCCTAGGACTGCATTAGCCTTTTTCTCAGCCACATTATATTGCCTGCTCATAGTCATACTATGATCAACCAAATATACCCAGGTCTTTCTCCTCCTCTGTAGCTTCCAACTGATAAATCCCCCGCTTAAAGCAAAAAATCTTGTTGTTAGTCCCCAAATGCATGACCTTGCACTTTACACTATTGAATTTCATCCCATTTCTATTACTCCAGTTTACAAGGTCATCCAGATCTTCTTGTTATAATATTCCAATCCTACTCCGTATTGGCAATACCTCTCAACTTTGTGTCATTCTGCAATTATTTTTTAAGCACACTCCCACTTTTTGTGCCAAGGTCAGTAATAAAAATGTTAAATAAGATTGGTCCCAAGACCAGTGCCTGAGGAACTCCACTAGTAACCTCCCTCCAGCCTCACAGGTCACTTTTCAGTGTGACCCATTGTGGTCTCCCCTTTAACCAGTTCCTTATCCACCTTTCAGTTCCCATATTAATCCCCATCTTCTCCAATATAACTAATAATTTCCCATGTGAAACTGTATCAAATGCCTTACTGAAATCTAGGTAGATTAGATCTGTTTATCCTTTGTCTAAAAAGGATCAGTTATCTTCTCAAAGAAGGAGATCAGGTTGGGTCTGGCAAGATCTACCTTTTGTAAAACAATGTTGTATTTTATCCCACTCACTATTCACCTTTATGTCCTGAACTACTTTCTCTTTCAAAATTTGTTCCAAGACTTTGCACACAATTGAGATCAAACTAACAGGCCTGTAGTTTCCTGGATCACTTTTTTTCCTTTTCTTAAAATTAGGAACTAGATTAGCAATTCTCTTGTCATAAGATATGACCCGTGAGTTTACAGATTCCTTGCTATTGGACTTGCAATTTCGTGTGCTAGTTCCTCTAATATTATTGCATGAGATTATCCGGGCCCCCTGATTTAGTCCCTTTCAGCTGCTTGAGCTTAACTTCTACCTCGCCTGTGGTAATTTCTACCTCAATATCCTTGTTACCCTAGCCACACTACCACTACCTCAAAGTTCTTCATTAGACTCATTCAAAACTGAGGCAAAGTATTTGTTTAGGTTTTTCCCCTTCTTTCTTTTCTTTCAGTTTATTTTTTTCAAGTTCTTGGTTTTTCACCTTCCAAATATCAAGAATGTCAAGTATGGTCTTCCCTTGTTTTGCTGGGGTATCTGTTGAATGTTTCAGAGCACATTTATTGTGAAATATCACACCTTAATTGCAGGTGTTGAATCTTTAACAAAAATATCTTTTAGCCAATGTTAATCAGTAATTAAATAGGTGTCAACAAAATTAATAAACATTCAAACACAAAAGAGCCCAAATCCTCCCATGTGTTTTAGACAGTCCGATTAAAAATTGCTTCCCCTTTCAGTTGTTCAACTCTTGCTCTCTTGACTTTTTTGATGTCACCACTTCATTAGTTCTCTTGTCTAGAATATAACAGGGCAGACGAGGCCTGGATGTCTTATGTGAAAAATTAATAACTCTGCTCCCCCCTTCCCACTCACCCTATCAAACTTTAATTTATTTATTCATTTCATTTTTAAAGCAAAACTTTCAGATGTTTTTTATACATCAAAAGGAGGCAAGAGAAAAAAACGCAACCTCCCTTTTTTGCAGGCTGACTTTAGAAGAGCTATTCAAACCGCATGCTATTTTAAAAAATGTAGACTGACAAACATGGAGAGGGGGGTTCAACTATACTCTCTAAAGTATATGCTCTTTCTTCTCTCTCTTGGTTTGTTACCCATAAAACAACAATTTGTGCCAATGACACAGGAGTATTAGGCTAGCCATGTGGTGATTTGAGATTACTATTTATTGTATTGTAACATATTCAGCTTTACTGCTGTGGTTAGATGTTCAGCTGCATGCATGTGTTTAGTTATTACTTTAGTTATTATTAGTTATTAGTGTACATGTGGGTCACCAGTGCGGTTAGATGTTCGGTTGTGTGCGTGTGTTCTCCCTGTGTGTCTGCGCAGACAGACAGCACAGCAGACCTCGAGCAAACTGTCCAATGACCACAAGATGCACTGAAGTGCGAAGGCACCAGGCCAGGTTTATTGTTGACAAATCACAGTAATAGCACCTGGTAGATGCTATGAGGATACTAAGACATGTATGCCCATGACAATGAACACAGCTCAGTGAATGGCGGGACTTTCCATTCCCCACTTGGCAGGACAAAAGACACTCTACTTGAGACTCCATTTTATACTCTGATACAAACAAGTTGCGTACTGCCCCTTTGACATAATTAGTTGCTGCCCCTTGACGTGGCTAGCTATTACCCAGTACATGTTGGTTTAATTAAAACATTTTTATTACTTACTGTTATCCTGATCTTATCTTTTAGGAGGGGTCAGTACATTTCTGTTATCCAGGGGGAACGTTTTTGTACCATCCTTGATATTGGGATGTTCTGTTATCACTTGCTATTGGGATGTGTTTGCGTGAGTACTCTGTGCCTAGCACTTCTTAGGAATGTGTATTTCTGCAATATCAGCCCTGTTCTTGCCAGATTCTGTGAGCAGGTCCTGCCTCATACCAGGCCTCTGATACAAAGGCTTATGTTTCAGGCTCTCTTCCTACTACAACTGTTATCTCATGGTTCCCTTCCCCACTTATTCATCTAATCCACATGTTTTATATGGTCATAAAATAGATTGTGAGTTATTTGAGGTATGATTGTGTGTAAAGAGTGCATTACAGCTAAGCCACAAGATCTGCTAAAGTGGGATCCACTAAAGCGGGGCCTCTAGGCACTCCAGCAATCCACATAACAAACAGTAATGATAACACTTATTCAAATTCATTACAGCAAAATACTTTTCCAGTTTGAAACTGCTTTAGAACTTCAGACACAAATGAAGCTTCCAGTTGGTTGTCAATTATGTCAGACTATTTCCCCCCTACTGTTACTCACACCTTCTTGTCAACTGTTTGAAATGGGCCATCCTGATTATCACTACAAAAGTTTTTTTTCTCCTGCTGATAATAGTCCATCTTAATTGATTTGTCTTGTTAGAGTTGGTATGGCAACCCCCACCTTATGTGTATACACACACAACTTCCTACTGTATTTTCCGCTCCATGCATCTGATGAAGTGGGTTTTAGCCCACGAAAGCTTATGTCCAAATAAATTTGTTAGTCTCTAAGGTGCCAAAAGTACTCCTCATTCTTTTTATTCTATATATGGTTAGATCTGGCTGCTTTCCTTGATTTTATTTGTGTATTGCATTTGCAAGTGGCAATGAGACACAACAGAGAGCATATTTCTAGGGGATTACTGCACACTGAAAGTGGATACAGCCATTCCTTCTTTGGCCTTCTTGCTGTATAAGGCCACATGAGCAATGCCGTAATCTCCCAGGTAGTTACTACCTGTAGTGTCTTGTTGCTTAGTAACTAATAATGCATGGTTATAGCTCTGAACAGTATTGACTACCATCTAGAT